TCTGACATCATGAATTAAGCTTTATGGCACGTATATCTTCGTCAATATGTTAAATTATTGCAATGTAACATGATCAGCGTACAAAACTCTATCAGCGAAATGTCAGTCATGAATTTGTTATTTCACGTAATACACCGCGAATGGTGTGTGTTATATTATATATACGCGACAATGTCTCAGATAACATTTGAATTAATTATGAATATAATCCATAGTCTAGGGTATGTCGTATTGAATTATTGATGCAATATTGAACGGATGCAAGTTTGGATGGTTTGGATTATATAAGTTTATGCTACGGCACCATTACTTACCTTTGGGGCAATCGTGCGAGATTACTGGTTTCCCAATAGTAACTCCGGGGTGATATGAATTTCTCGTCTTTATGATGCTACTGTGACATTGTTTCCTTATATACAATTTGTGTATTTTTGTAAATATCGTTTTAGCTATAATTTGCCCTGTTTATTTCCACATTTTCTCTGTACACTCTTTTTCTAATTTCCGCAGTTCCTAATGTGTCCGTGTCTAACACATATGTTCAGTTACGTAACTGTAGCTATAACAACAGTAACACGTAAATGAATTTCTTAGGTATGTTCAAATTTAATGGTGTTTCAGAAATCACGTTTTCCATTTACCCAAAGTCTTTTGTTGAGAGATTCTCTAGTGGTCACTTTTTGAATGGATTCTAATCTCCTGGCTAACTACTGCGCTTGGTGTGTATGTATGTACTTATCGAAGAAGATTTATTAGAATTCTTCTATTCCCTTCTGAAAACGAATTATCTGCTTTCCGGATTCAGTGAGAGTCAAGCGACTCGTACACTTTATAATTAGACTGCCTGGATATTATTAGTTTGACTTGCGTAATTAGTGTAACCTGTCCTCCCTCATGAATAATTCATTGGTATCGCTGTAGTGATGATTATTTCATACATTATACACACATTGGTATATATAATTTAGTATTACGTCACCATAATCCACTAGACGTCTCATAATAGGTTGTAATTGAATCTATTCGAAATACTTTTAAACACTGTGTATTTAATTCCCTAGCACACAGTGATACGTAAAATCGATTTAGTATACGTTACTCGAATTCTAAGTATCTGAGGTGTTTTATTGTATGAAGAACCATACCATTCATAGTACACATGTCGCTGAAGTTTATTTAAAGATTGGTTTTTCAATGGTGTAATGAAGTCGATTCCATTCCGCGAGGCTTAAGATGTTTATTCCGATAATCAAGTTTAATTGGTTGTCGGGACAGGTACCGTGCAATAAATAAGAAGAAAAATACAACACGTGGGTTTGACTATACTAGCGCGCGTCTTGGGTCGAAGTGATATGCTTTGTAGGCAATGTGCCGACAGTTTTCAAGTACATACTATTCACATTAGGAATGAAGCACTGCGTCTTTGCCGATTTCACGTTTGTGTTTTGAAATCGTGTTTAATGAACTAAATATCTATGTAATCGTTATCATTATGACAATAATGAATGCATGTGGATATATTGGCACTGTGGAATAGATATATTGTCACTGTCTGTTAAATAATTGCCTTACATGACTTTCTACACAACGGTTCTACGCAAGTTTGCAATTATTACTCTAAGCATGCTACTACTGTAACGCTTGTTATTTTGGACAATGCATTTCCTGGCGTGGCGCGTAATGCATAAATTGACAATAAGCATTTCTGTATATGCCACGGTTGTGTTAATCTAACTGCGTGACTCGGTACAATAAATAGATCATAGGATCCTACATTGTTATACTCTTGGTTGGGTATTTCTTCTGTTAACCAACAATCACACTTGGTGAAGTTCTCGGAATAACTGGTATCTGACTTATATATCTAAGCATACGGGACACACGGTAACGATTGAAAAAACAATCGAAACCGCACCGTGAGGGACATTTTAATAACGTTGCTTTTCCGCAACAAACGCAGATTTCGGAGATTGTAGAATTGTATTGAAAGGTTAACATATTGTGCACAGTCTAAGAATGTACAACCTCAGGGAACGTAGGCATAATGTAGTGCATCCACGGATGGTGTCTATGATGCATTACATTCCATTATTGCATCTACAGGCAGTCTAATGCTTTAATCATTCGTAGCCAAAAGGTGTCACTTTGATGGACCTACCATCTCACAGTAAATGCACCTTCATCATTGCGATAATGTCTTCTACTCACTCATCGAGTCCTCGAGTGGTGAATAACCTCCTGGGGGTAACTCAAATTATTTTTCTGGCGTCAAAGAAAAAATGTTGTATTTATAGATTTTTTCACAAAAGCGCAACAAAAACTGATTCGGTTCTTCCCGAGGGGTCGACTTAATAACGCTCAAGTATGGTTGTATGAATCTCCTTTTTCGAATATTCAACTTTCTGAGTAGCTGTTACATTATCAATTCATTAGGTACATTGATGAAAGTTGCGATAAATATAATATATAGAAAATGTTAGTAGATACTCGTAGTTCTTGGTAATTATTCGTTCGATATAACAAGATGTGAGTACCATTGCCTGAACCGTACGTGGCATAGCTTTTACAAATTTACCTGCCTCTAGCTCGAATCCTAAGATTGAGGATCTTTGATAATGAATTAAATTATTGTTATTTTCAACCTCAATTAGTCAATAAACAGTGTACCTATCAAAAGCCTTGTTTCTTGCGATGTGATAATTTGTAGGTAGGCTCCATTTGTTCATGTTTTTTTAATCGTAATATAAATATATAATAATGTATACAAAAAACTTAAGAACGTTAAGTAAAACAAAACAAAAATATTCAATATTAACAAAAAACAATAGAAATAAAAAAATGGAGTCTATCGGATTTTAAACATATTGACTACTTGCATGCTATTATGACCATCGCCTGGCGTCATTATGGCGTCGTTGTGTCCGGTTCAGCCTCAGTGACTTAAGCATCTCTTAAGCCTAATTCAACATGGCGTTCGTGGACGTAACGTTTACAGCCTAAAGGCACGCCTGAGAAAATTGAACCGAATTCTACATCATAACACTAGACTAGTGTTATATTCAATAACACTCGCGTTATAGACAATCCCACTCACGTTATACGCAGACCCAATCTGGTTAGACAGACGTAATCCCACTCGTGTTACACGTCATCACATTCGCGTTTTACGTAATCAAACTTTAGACAGTCGCCCTCATTACAGTCCCTCGGATAGAGGGACTGTGCCTTCATACTTATATTTGCCAAAAACCCTATAGAGTTAGGGTTAGGGTTATATAGTTATACTTTTCCAAACATTCCAAACATAAAGTGTGTATATGTTTTTTTGTGTTTAAATGGACATTTGCGGTGTTTTCAGTTAAATTGATTGACCTGTTGAGTAGCTGACTCGATAAGGCCACTACGAGTAGTTAATTATGGAGTAGCCTCGGAAAGATAACGGCTTTTAGTTATCTTCACTTTCTGATAATAATAAGTCAAATTGTATTTTTAATTAATTATTGATTTAAAGCGTATGTACATTCAGTGAATTATTTAGATGTTTGTCTTCCCAGTCTTTCAGTTCAGCTGAATTTACTACAGTAATTGATGCCCCAATGTGCACGTGATTACAAGCATGTTAACACAAAAGAGATTGAGGTGGAGTGGATCGTTTAGCATTTTCTTCTCTAAAGATGTTGCGGCAACTAATGGCCATTGCTACAAAAAAGTCGTTTCTGCCATTTCTATGACGAATTGAATTCTGTATCATGTACAACCGAAAGAATATGTGGAATAGACCTTATAACACCATAGTTGTAAGTAATTCCAGTCGTCAGTGAGTATTGCTCATGCTAGAATTTGTAGTAGGGATTTTTAGCCTGTAACAGAGGACTACATTTTTGACTACGTCATCGTGTACCTTGATACAAACTCTAATTATTATTATGAAACGTTCTAAAACACTCGACAACGCACAGTACAAAGCTCGGTTTTAAGCTGTTTACAACTTTTAGCTCTGCGACACTCCCTTACTCAAATGAATGGTCAGTAATCTTAGTTTATATAGCATGTATACTATAAAAAATAACCTCATAAAAGTTTTAAGATCAAACAATGATACTTTATCTTTAGAATGATGGCGTCTCTTAGCAACAAGGAACGTTTAATGGTGGCGTCCTTAAAAGCATTTTTCTGAAATGTCGATTATGATTATGATTGACGAGCGTTCACCGAGTACAAGTGAATACAAGTCATAAAAACTACTTTCTTTACATTGGTTCTTAGTGGAACTCATCCATCAGCAAGTCATATGTTTATTTGTCGCATCCGTGTCCATTATCTACGAGTTATTGCCATTATCGCTCTTCCGCTGTCTAACATTTTAACGGCTACTCATATTGAAATATTATAATCCACATTTCAAGAACAATGTTGGTGTTTGTGACGTCACGTTTCAATCAACATAATATATACTTGTAATTATGCACTTGATCATTACTTCAAAATCATTGAAATTAAAACACATAGTTTGGTGACGTCACACTGGCTCCAGTGACGAGATGTGCTACATGTCACTGCAATGGGAAATATCTCCCCGGCTGTGATCCCTCTAACATCGTTGCTAGAATTGCGCAATCGTAACTATAGTTTCCTAGAACGACCAAGATCTCGCTAGACACTAAAAGTCTCGTGGCTTTCTCGCTTTCAACGAGACATTTGCATCTAAGGTATATTAATTATGCTACGTTTTCACGTCGAGTCTTGAGTCTGAGCTGTACTGTCTATAACTGCACAATACCGTGCCCCATTAGATAATTGCATATTACTTTGGGGAATTCGTAATTTGACTTGAATGTATGGAAATTAATTTAATAGATTCATCATATAAATTATAATTCCGCATCATAAAATACAATGACGTTCGCCACAGGAGCATACCCTTTGTTTCACCTCAGGTTGTCTGAGGTTTCACTGATTTCGAAAAATGACAGTTTGCGATAACACTTCATACCTACACGCAAAATATATAGTACACATACAGTACTTATTGTATATCGACTTTCTCATTGTGACATTTTGACATTCTATGTGTACTTTGTTTTCTCTGTAGGGTATTCTCATTCGGTATTGGCCCCAGAGTATCGTACGGTCTTGTCAATGGCATTGCGGAAGCTGGCAGAGGAGCCGCAGAGTTTATCGGCACAGATGAGAGGATGCAGAGCAAGGTACGTCAAAAGACTGTGCAATTTTCTAGTGCGCGTGACACTCTGGCCGGACGTTTGTAGTTGGTTCATCTTGTCTTGCTAACAGACAAAATAATCCAAACTAGTGTAACCTTTTCAGGATTTCATCAGGCTTTTGCTACCTTAATGTGCGAGAGGGAGAAACATATCACATGATACTGAATCTAATATCGTCTATTAAAACTTCATTTACGCCTTGTCCGTTACCCACCTACTTGCGACAGTAGGCTGTCGCAGAGAGGACAATCATCACGCAGTGTATGATCATTAGACAGGCCCTGTGACGATAGACACATGTCAATACAGTAAATAAAATATGTTAGCACTGATAAATATGATTTATATATATATATATATTCAAAATTGCAACAAGACGTTTTGAGCTGCTAAAAGTACGCTACGACAGACAATCTGACAAGTGTTGTATTGCAAAGGCAATGTTATGTTGTCATAGAAACCATCGTTTCCCATTGGTGACAAAAGGCTACGGCTCAATTACAGTCTGAGGCTACAATAACATCGAGTATAACAAGGCCTTGATGAAATTAATACCAACAGTCAAGGATGCAACCAAATTGGTGGCCAAAGAAGTAATGCCTGTTGACGGCGTTGTTTTCTTCACTGTAGTAGGATAAATATAAAAGTTGTGGACCAATTTTCATAATTTTCAAGTGGATGTCCTTGAGAGAAGAACTAATCAATTAGATATGTTCTGTTATGCCTAGATACGGTTTTAATAGAGACGAACTTTTTTGGAAGGATTCTTAATCATTATCAGATATGGTCGTAAAATTGTACGGTAGCGAGGTGAATTAAACTGCTAAATGAAAGTGATGGTGCGTGAAAATGAAATTTGGAAATCATGAAAAAAATGTAAAATAACTGTAATCATTCCACACCTGAATAAGGTAACCGGTAATGTCACTTCGCCTGGTTCACAGGATAAGCGGTATGTTCTGACGTTTCTACATGTCACTAGGTCACGGGTCAAATATTATTCCACAACACCCAATAATACTCATTATTTTTTCCCAGCTCGTTCGGGTTTTTAACTGGTTTAAAATTATACAAGACTGATGGGTACCAATATAGTTCAATGCATTTATATGCCTAAATAAGTATAGATAATGCACAATGTTCAATCTTACCCATGCATTGCAATTGTACAACACCACATATAAACTTCATGAAACTATAGTTCATTAGGTACACCAAAATTTAAGCTTGTTATGGTTCTCGTCTCCGGCAGTATCGCCTGCCGGATATCCGGTTAGTCACGAAGATTCGCATTGCACAAACCACGGCAAGGTCAGTAATGATCATGTGCCAATAGGGGGAAATGACATTCCATATGACGTATATATTCGTAAAATATCATATATATAAACTGACCAGGAATATGACAAATTCCTATAAAGTTATAAGTATGGTATAATAACTTAAAGCCAAGAACCAGACGATGTCAATTCGTGGCGCGTGTTGGATCAATACAGGCACCCTAGTGTTCACCATGTAACCGGCGATTGGGGTTCACGATTTCGATCTTCAACTATATCACTCAGGTTTCTTTCCAGTTTGACTAACGTGTTGAAAATGCCGAGTTTTGTCATAGTGGTACGTGGATCTGCTCACAAGATGTCAGGGTCACCAAAAGTGTGTGTGAGAGATTAGTTTGTGAATATACTACTGCTCACGCTAAAGGCAATTCTAAATGACAGAGAGGCACACGAACGTAGTTTATGGTAGCAAAAACACAATATTGGTTTATTGCAATACGGAGTAAACTGACATAGAGTACTGAGGGAACTGGTAATACATGAAATGTAACAGAAATCATAGGCATTTATACCCTCTATGCGAACGTGAAAGGAAACACATTTAGACGTAAACTAAGTGTCAAATATTGGTCAAAGTTAAACACTTGTGATAGGCTGCTTCACCGCCAGAATCCGTTGTCGGATATAAAGGGAGGATGAATCGAGATAATTTATCATGGATTGACTCCGCTAAAAAGTGTAGACCCTCTTCGTTGGGTAAAATCTTAAAGGGCGGT